TCAAGGGCACATCCCTTGGTTGCAGATCCTACAGCGCCAGTAGGGGTCTGTGATGGAGGCAACCAATTGATGTGTCTCTCTCCCTCCCTCTCCCTTTCTCTCCCTCCCCCTCCTCCCTCCCTTCCACTGTCTCTAGAAATCAATGGAAAAAATATCCTCAGGTGAGGATTAAAAGTGAAGAAATAATTTGTACATTAGGAAAAAGATGAGTATGTGATGTTAGTAACATCCTATCCATAAATTATTTCAAATTTATGAATATTTATACAGAAGTATTGTAAGATATTATTCTGAAGTGAGAATGGTATGACAAAAGGATCATTGTTATGTACAGAAAAGGAAGAGAAAATGTTGATAGAAGGTAGGAAAGATTGGAAATATAGGAGGTATCAGTTTATGGAAACTTCTTTTAAAACATTACATTGTAACTTACTGTGATGTATGTGGAAACTTACTAGGGAGCAAGTTGATAGGCTCTAGCTTTTGTGAATAACAAATTCTTAGGCCTTTAATTTTGTTATTATTGTTCAATAATAGAGAGAATACCAGTCCCTTAGCAACTACTTAGGAAATTGAGGCTAGATCAAAGCATATGTAAAATATGTATAATAACACATTCCTTGGACTTAATAGTCTCTAACCATTTAAAGTACAATAAAATGGTACACTGATTTGTTTAAAGTATAAAAATGCAGAAATAGGGACATTCTATTTCCACTGTAATTTCAGATTCTGCTTTTGACTTTGAATAAGAAATCAGCTATGGTATCATTATTTTCCTGCTTCATAGAACTTAATGAGCTTTTAAAAATAATTTAGCAAATGGCAAAGCCATACAGTGTTAAACAGTAATTTCTGTGTGTTTCCACACAATTTGTGTAGCTGCTTTTCTCTGAAGAAGCCAAACATTTACGCTGTTATGCCAATACGTCAGCCTTATAGGGAAACACCTTGGGTTGAAGTTTCTGCACGTGATGAGGGTCATTCCCGTAGTCAAAGCAGACACTGGCAAAGTCCAGGTAGCGGAGCAAATTGGCAGTGACATAAAGTGTCGGATCAACCTGGTGGAGGCAGACAGTGCCCGGAATTGTTACTCTTTGATTACATTGCAGTCGTTGGTGCAATGGCTTCATCCCTGTTGGTATTTCTAATTTTTGCTGTAGTGATGTAATGATCCTGTTATTTCTCTCATTCCGAAATGACCTGAAATAGCTTTATAGGCATTTAGTATGAAAATGCAGACTTTTGGAATGTTAGGGTTTTTTGCACATGACTTTAAGAAACTTTATGGTGTCTGTGTCAGTCAAGATTATTTTTACCCATTCTTCTCCATCCTATTACTTAAGAAAAAAAGAGAAGTTATTGGATGTAAGACCATGCTTTTTTCAATTGAAGCCTTCTTTATCAGGCCTCGTGCAAAAATGCAGATATCTCAATTTGACTATTCTCTTTGCTTTCCCCCCACAGAGTCATTTATTTATTCAATTAATATTTTATTGCACAACTATTTTATCTCAGTGTTAAGCTAAGTGCTTTTGATTTCAGATGAGAAAGGCTTCGCTTGTGTTGTTTGCATTCTAATAGAGTAAAGAGACTGAAAACAAGTAAAAGACACATCTAATAATTGCAAGGTTGTGAGTGTCTCAAAGAAACATTACAGCCTAATGTGAAGGACAGGGGACAACAGGATCAAGTGATCAGTTTAGCTACTGGGGTCAGGGGTTAGTCTATGAGGTGATGACATTTGATGTGGAATTAAAAGAATGAGAAGAGATGAAAAGACCTGGAGGGAAAACGTGGTAGGCAGAAGAAACAGCAGGCAAAAGCATGCTATTTGATTGATGATGGTGTCAAATTCTGTATAGAGTGGCAAGTTCAAGATCTAAATCTTTGTCTCTTACCCAAAATATTAGTGAATGCATATGCTCACGTATTGGTGCTGTAGCAATGAGCGGTCTAGGAGGTGGTGGCCTCCTGTGGTGTTTGCCTTTTAGGTTCATTTCCCCTTTTGAGGTTCTGCGTGCTAAAGTTTTTTCCGATTCATTGGCTAAAATATCAAGAAATAAAGAAGCTCCTATAGTAGCGTCACCATCCAATTCTTATGTCATCCTCTATGTGTAATAGAAAATAACTTGTAGGGTCATGCAAGTTAAGCAACATCACTTCAGCCCTTCTTAAGCCTCTCCTTATTATCCACCTAGAACTAACTGATCAAGAGAATGTGAAAGATGGCTGCCTCAGGTTTAGAGGTAGCATATGCTATAGCACTTCAATTTTTAGTGCAATGAAATAATTAAATTGGTGTCTTTCATGGCAATGTTCAAATATAAGAGTATCTAAAATATAGAGACGCACAAATATGAACTCCATTGCTTTGCAGGGAGCCAACCATATGACTGGTATAAACAAATCATTGTTCATTTATTGATCTGTAATTGATCTGTCTGCACAGCAAAAATCAATGCTATTCAAATCCATTGTCCATACTGAAAATATATATATACTTGATTATAAAAATCAATGAACATTACTTTTCCTAACAGTAAGTTGAATATAAACAAAAATTCTTATTAATAAAATAGTCTTGTAAGAGACTTGCCTTCACAATTGTATGTAAAATAGATGAAAGCAACCATATGTTCTATTATAATTGGGTTAGAGGTTATAACATTTTAGAGTTATAGGACTATTAACAGCATACCTTAAAAGTTGCGATGATTATTTGAACAATAGTACATAGTGCATTTTTTAAAGTTCTTGGTGATGAGCGACTTTTTTTAAAAAGTGTTCAAAAGTAAATTTTCATCTGTTTTAAGAGAACCTCCACCTTCATTTTAAAAAATGTGCATTTACTTTTAGTCTTTTATCTTTTTTTTATTCTCCCTACTCCTCCCAACTTTCTCTTGATTTCTTTCTTTTCCATTGGGTCCATTGAATTTCTTTCAATTCCTTCATTTTCATTTTCTTTCATTTAATCTTATCTACAACCAGCTGGCTGTGTCATAAATTCAGGGGAGAGTTGGTTAATCAGGAACATGTTATTTCCCCTGGGTTGCCTAGCTCTGTATTCCTCTGGATTTTTCTAATGAAGATTAGAGATATTGTGATGGGCACAATGGGGTCTCTTCCATTAATTCTATTGTCTGCCCATTCATTCCACAAACATCCCCTCTGTCAAATAAGAAGAGAAAACATAGGAAACAAGACCAGCTCAGGTGGAAATTAGAACCCTTTTACCACAATCCTGAGGGGTGTTTTCTTCAGGTGAAAAGTATATACACTGCCTAACCTCCTTGAATCATTATTCTTGTAGGCTACTTCCTTGATTCTTAGTTCCAACTTTGCTTTTAGACAGTGACTATTGGATCCTCCTTAGATCCACAGTTCAAAGAACCTGGCGGAAGGGCAGACCCAGGCCACTCCTGAACCTAAACCCAGACCCAGGTTGCAGAACTTTGGAGGTATATGGTTGTCAGGTCTCCCCTTGGTCAGAAAATGTTTCTATTAAACGTACATGGTATATGTAGTAATCATTATCACCTAAATTGCCCTTATTGGCTGATTATTGCTTTTCTTTTAATTGCAGGGAGAAGACAGACATTCTCATTGTGCCCTTTGCACACCTATATTTTTATTCACTCTTTTCATTCTGGTTAAATCTAAGGATAAAGACAAACAAAAATATGGTAGTCAGATGGCTACATCTAAGTCAGCTGCTTCCACTGTAAAATATATACTATTTTTTGCCATAACCAGTTTGGCTCAGTGGATAGAGCATCGGCCTGCGGACTGAAGGGTCCCAGGTTCGATTCCGGTCAAGGGCATGTACCTTGGTTGTGTGTACACTGAAATATTTATAACTTTACTTATAAATTCCAAAGGGATAATAATCATAAAAATCAAATAATATGTAAATGTTTTATAAAATATCTGATTTTAGATGGTTGTCTAATAATTTATAAGGTAAAATATCCTTAATTTCTTTAGCACTCAGAAGAACTTTCTAACAGTTTCACCTTCCAAATGTGAAAGCTATTCTTAAGGTAATGAGTGTCTGTCACAGAAAGTATTGGGAAGAATTGGCATGATAATGCTTCATGGGTAATGAGTAAGGAAGCCTCCACTAAATAGCAGCCTGGACTGGAAAACCAAGTTGTTTTCTTCTGCAGTTTCTAGAACTAAAAATAATGTTTATTAATACCTGTGTTCATCGGAGAAGTAACCTCAGATTCATATACTACATGTTGAAAGGTGATGTGAATGCCTCTAAGGCTACCATTTCCCTGATGTTATCAAGAGATATGAGAAGCTGATTCGGTGCTTTGGGGGAAATAGATCAGGGATAGTTGAAATGATAGTTCTGCAGACAGCAAGAGATGCGCAATGGTTTTTTTTATCTTCTATTATTACAGGTGACCTAAAACAGGTAGCGCGTTTTCTCTGGATTGCCTTTTGTATTTTCTGCATAGCAATAAGGGAGTTCATTCAGCCTCTCTTTTACAGAAGGAACATTTTGAGATAGAATATATGGGCTGTCAGGCCTGTGGGAGGCTGCTGAGTCACATATGATTCACAGATCTGGCTTCAGAAATCTTCAGAATTTCTCTTTACAACACAGGGTGGTCTGTTTTAAAACCACCTGTTGATATCCACATTGGGATGTGCTCTAAATGGAGCACTTAGCAACAGTGACAGAATGACTGTTAATGAAAAAACAAATTTAAAGGCTTTCCTTCACTGGCTGTTTCATAAAGATGATGGGTTACATGGGCGTTATAGCAGGGCCCTCCAGCCAAAGTACCGCCCCTTTTCACTAGGGCTCATGAAATGCATCTTACCTATTTCTGAAATGACTGAATGAGATCAGTTTCCTTCCAATTGCGGGAGAATTATTTCAAATGTGGAAGATGTGAACATCAACACAAATGAGCCTTTCTACCAGGAGATTGACCACTGTATTTTAAAGTGTTTATTTCATATTTTATATAAATAATTTAAATTCTAGTAACCAGCTTGTTATTTGCTTCCTAATAAGGAAAATATGCCTAAGACTTTGATTTTTTAAATTTCTTTTTTGTTTGTAATAGCAAATCAATCATCTGATGTTAGTTATTTAATTATTACTTTATTTTTAAAAAAAGCCTTCTTAGTTACTGTACATACATGATCATGCTTTACAGCAGTTTTTAAAAATATATTTTTATTGATTTCAGAGAGGAAGGGAGAGGGAGAGAGAAACATCAGTGATGAGAGAGAATCATGATCGGCTGCCTCCTGCATGCCCCATACTGGGGATCGAGCCCACAACCTGGGCACTTGTCCTGACCAAGAATCATACCGTGACCTCCTGGTTCATAGGTTGACGCTAGCTGGGCTACAGCATTCTTTAAATTTACTGAGAGTATGACACAGATGCTTCAGTTGGAATTATCTACATAAAGTGCTTTTTTCCCTTTGATATATTTTTCCATTTAATTGCCTAGATTTTCACCGACCTTTCACTTAGAATTCATAAAAGGTCACAATTTTATAAAATTGTTATTGAAACAGCAGCCAATCATGTGAAATCTTGATTCAAATACAAATGTTTGACATTGTTATCAAGAAATTAAAGCTGAGTTCTTTTCCTGTATTCCGTTGACATTTATATAAACCTTTCACCAAAGCTTCACATTCTTCACAAGTAATTATTGGATAGTGCTAAAATTGTAATTTTGTCACCATTTGCTAAGCATCAATTTATTTTTAAACACAATTCTCATTGTTAATTTCACCACGTTAATGATTTTTTTTTAAAGTTTAGCCTTGTGTTCCTGTTGAGCAGGACAGGAAAGGGCGCTGCTGTAATTCCTGTCTGAGAAGCAATCTTTGCCTGGGCTGCTTGATGCACTCAGACCATGGGGCGGGGGTGAGGGGAGGCACAAGGGCAGTGAATGTGCAGCTCAGGCACAGGGTCAAGGAGAACCACGAGTCTGAGGGGACAAAGAGGCTGAAAGCAATTAAAAGGTAATATATTTTCTGAGCTGTAAGATATTTACTATCTCACTTTAAAAGGTTTCATTTCATCTTTTCGAGAATTCTGTGCTTAATACTCAAGGAATAAACGTATTGGAGACAGACTCTCCTTATAAAAGGTCTTCA